GTATTTAGCATAATGCCTGACACCTGTAAGGTCATTAGGCAATTTATTTTTTTCCCATCTTTCTCTCAGTCTTAAGGTAGAGCCCCTTCCTCTCATTTACTCCTCCTTGCTTCTTCCTAACTTGCTTGCTATGGATACACAGGGTATTTGGGTCAATCCTGGCTTCCATTGTGCAAGCGCGTGTATTCTGTAGATATTGGTCAAGTGAGAATGGCGCCTCTCTAATTAGAAGACACAGTGATAGCAAATACGAAGCTTCACTTTTTTACCTTTCAGGTTAAGTGCCACATATGGCTTTTTTTCTTTTTTTAAGTGCTGAATTTGAAGGCTTACTCTTAACTTTTTTTTTTTTTGTGGTACTGGGGCTTGAACTCAGGGCCTAACCTTGAGCCACTCCACCAGCCCTTTTTTATAATGGTTTTTTTTTTTGAGATGGGGCGGGGGTGTCTCAAACTATTTGTCTTGGCTGGCTTAGAACCTTGATCCTCCTAATATCTGCCTCCTGAGTAGCTAGGACTATAGGCGTGAACCAGTGGCACTTGTCAAGGGTTTACTCTTAAGCTAATATTGCTCCAGGTTCTGGGTTTCTGTTTGCTTACCCAAGCTTGCTTCTCCCAGCCCTGATCGTTTTTAAAGAAAAGAGATGAGTGAACCATCTACTTCTTGTTTTTTGTGAATTCATCAGTAAGTCTTTTGAACTTTAAAGTATCTTTACTCCCACAAACATGCTCAATTGCTTTTTCACTCATAGAAAAGGAAGGGTTCTTATATTGTCTTATCTGTTTGAGGTCATGATACCTGCATCTCTCAACCTACCTTTTGTTTATACTTTGTGGCTTCACTGTCACATCCCTAGTTAGGTTAGATTGCTTTTCCCTGAGTGCTGTTTGGAATGAGGAAGGGAAAAAGGGGAATGTGTGGAGACCATTCTGCAATTTAGTCATTCTTAGTAGAACCAGCACTTTTTTTTGGAGGTAGGACTCCTGGATTGGGACTAGCATGTATATATTTTTATAAGGCTCCCCACAAGTCTCATTTGTACCTCACATTGAGAACCTCTGAATGGATAGCTGCAACCAGAATTGCATTCTTCCTCTGGGTTAGGAGGTTTTGTTGTTTTTTTTTGTTACTCTGTTGTCTTGGGGGAAATGATACTTAACAGATAAAACCTAGTGAATTCAGCCAGCTGCCTAAGCTACTCAGGAGCCAAAGATGAGGAGGATGGCAGTCGAAAGCCAGCCTAGGCAAGCAGTCTGTGAGACCCTGTCTGGAAAATGCCCAACACAAAAAAAGAGCGGGTGGAATGGCTCAAGTGGTAGAATACCTTCTCAGCAAGTGTGAGGCCCTGAGTTTAAGCCCCAGGGCTCCCCCCCCCCCCGCACCTCCCCCCCTAATAAAGAAAATTTAAAAAAGACCTAGTGGATTGAGATCAGCCTGGTTTTAGAGCTTACTGTTTTAGCAAGGGCTGAGTGTTGCTTTAATTCTCATCTTCTCATACTACACTGTCTTCTGAATCTTTGTGAAAGAATTAATGTACACAGGTCATCTGGTGTGTGGTATCATGTACACATTAAATAGACACTGAGAATAATAATAATAAAAGATTATTTGCAATAGGAAAAAATAAATGTGAATTTGAAGAGCTGGGTCTTACATTACTAACCTGCTAACATCGTACCACAGACTCGTGGCAGTTCTTAAATGGTTTTCTCTGTCTGTCTGTGTCTCCCTTTTAAATGAAGTCACTCAGCCTCTGAAGAAGCTTCGGGTTCAGACTCGGGCAGCCAGTCGGAAAGTGAGCAGGGCAGTGACCCAGGAAGTGGACATGGCAGTGAGTCCAACAGCAGCTCTGAGTCTTCCGAGAGTCAGTCCGAATCTGAGAGTGAGTCTGCTGGCTCCAAATCCCAGCCAGTCCTTCCAGAAGCCAAAGAGAAGCCAGCGTCCAAGAAGGAGCGGATAGCTGACGTGAAGAAGGTATCTTCTTTGGTGTACAGTTCAAGTACAAGTGCACAGCTGGGCAGGACCAGCTAGCACACCTTTGTTTCCTGGGAACCCTATAGAATACCTTGATTGCCTAGCAATCCTGAGATTCTGAGTTCAAGCCCCAGTACCACAAAAAAAAGTATATAGAACACTATAGCCACCTCTCTAATACAGCACTCGTGCATTACAAATACTGATGACTTCTCTTGTCCTAATTGATATAGCTGGGCTAGAGGTGTGGCTTAAGTAGTAGAGTGCCTGCCTAACAAGCAAGGTCCTGAGTTTAAACCTCAGTACTACAAAAAAAAAAAAAAAAAAAAAAAGAAAAGGGTTGATACAGTTAATAACAGACCTCTAAGAAAAATAATAACACGAACCATCCAATTACAGGACATAGAAGCAAATTTTTATAGTTTGGTCTTTAGCTTTTAAAAACGATAGTTTAAAAAATTATATTGTGCTAATTCCAGAGAGAAACCATTGATGAATGATAGCAGCTCTTCTTTGGATTGTAGAGTACAGCTGTGGAGCTTAGTGATAGGTGATTGTGACCCAAGAGTAAGGACTTTTTTCCCCTAAATCAGGATCTTGCAGTGTAATCCAGACTGGCTTAGAACTCAAAATCTTCCAGCCTCAGCCTCCTGACTGCTAGAATTACAGACCTATAGCACTGTGCCTCATGAAAAGACAGGTTGTATTATCTGCATAACTGAAAAGAAATACTTCTCAGAGAAAAACATTATCTGTGTGGAGGTATTGTAGGTGTTCTTCGCTTAAAAGAATCTTCTAGCAAAGGATGAAAAAGGCAAAAACTGAGTTGCATAACATTTTCTTACTACTGTCCAAACTTTGGCATGCATTCCTTTTGGTGGAAAAAAATAATTTCCTGGTCTAATCAGAATGCAGCTGATCTTTTAAAATTTCCTTTTGAGAGAATTATGTGTTAATCACTGAAATTATAAAAACATAGCTTTAAAAAATTTTACATAAAATGCCCTAATGAAATAGAAGATTTATGCTAACTCATTTTCTTTAAGCTATATGCTAAGATACAGATCTGTATACTCAGATTTCCATAATACTACAGATGATTTCACATTTCTTAAAAGTTCTGTCGACTACCTTCAACAAACCTGAAACTAACAAAACCACTTTGAAAGCTCTGGAAGCACACTTGGATTAACTTGTTACTTCATTCTTCTTTTGCCTGCATAATCACTGCTTAATAGTATTAGCCCAGTTGGAGTAGTTGAGTGGGCCTTGAGTGATAGTTATTCTAAAATGAGAATTTCCAAATAAGGCTTCTTTTTCTGTATACGTTATTTTCTTTCTTTTTTGCTTGGTGGTACTAGGGGTTGAACTCAGTCTCATGCTTGCTAGCAAGTGGCTCTACTGCTTGAGTCACTCTGCCAGCCCTTTGTGCATTGATTATTTTTGAGAGATGGTCTTGCTTTATGTCTAGGCCAGTCTGGACTGTCATCCTCCTAGTTGTACTTCCCTCCATAGCTGGGATGACAGGCATACACCACCATGTCCAGCTATTGGTTGAGATGGGGTCTTGTGACTTTTTTTTGCCCAGGCTGGTATCACATTGCTGTCCTCCCAATCTCCACCTTCCAAGTAGTGAGGATTATGGGCTTAAGCCCCTGCACGAGGCTGTGCACATCCTTTTCACAAACAGGAGAAAAGGCTTATTACCTATGTAAGAGCATTCAATAATGAGTGATTCCATGGCAGATTTTTCATGGAAGAGTTGAATTTGATATCTTTAGCCCCTAAAAAGGACAAATAAGAAGATTTTAGGATGTAAGCATTATAGTATATACTGTATGAAAGTCACAGTAGTTGGTTCAGAATGCCTACCGAGTATCTCAAAGTAATAAGATTGATCAACATGATTACATTTAAATGATTTAGCTATGACAGGTAATGACAGCCTCGTAAGAATCTGTGTTTAGAGTGGTTTCAAGTGGTAGAGTGCCTCTAACAAGTGTGAAGCCCTGAGTTCAAACCCTAGTTAATCAAGTAATTCCACAGTACTAGCAGAGGTCCAAGAAGGAGTGGGGGTGGGCAGCTACTCTCCTTCCTCTGCTAGATTTGTCTAGTGCATTTGGCATTTGTTTGCTTCTTCTATCTGCCTCATTATTCCTAACTCCTCCTCTTTTTTTCCTCTCCTTGATCGGTAAGGGGTTTGAACTCAGGACCTCGTACTTCCTAGGTAGGCACTCACCCCCTTAAATCACACATCCAGCCCCCTAACTCCTCCTTATTGGATCTTTTGGCCTTTAACTCAGATGATTCTAAGGCCATTAGGGAATCTGAGAACACTGAATTAATTACATGATTTTATTGGATTCTAGTTCTGAAATGCCTACTCCTGGCTCATTTTGTTTTCTTTCTTTTTTTCCCTCCTTTGTGGTACTGGGTTTGAACTCAGTGCCTCACACTTGCTAGGCAGGCGCTCTACTACTTGAGTCATTCCACCAGCCCATCTTGTTCACTCTTTGTTTTTCTATGGTTCACTCTAGCTTTTTAAAAATTCATTGGTTAAGAATGTCTTCTGTCTGTGTGATGACATTGTGTTTGTGTGGGTTTTCTCTCAAATAAATTTTAACTTCATTAGGGTCTACTCGCCACACTTTTTTTTTTTTTTAATTTTTTTTGTGGGACTGGGGTTTGAACTCAGGGCTTTGTACTCTACTGCTTGAGCCACACCTCCAGTCCTTTCTGCTCTGGTTATTCTGGAGATGAAGTCTCAAGAACTGTTTCCCTGGGATGGCCTTGAACCTCGATCCTCCTTAGCCTCCAAAGTAGCTGGGATTATAGATGTGAGCCACAAGCACCTGTATCTGCACATTTTTTAAGTTAAACATTTTAGTAATCTCAGATGGTGACTTCTCTTCTGTATATTTTATGTCTCATGTTTCCAAATATTTTCGTGACACTGGATTGGCTGCCCTTCTATTTTGATAACAAACCCCTCTATTTAAAATCATGGCTTTCATGCATCTCTTCTCCATGTTTAGCTGCTTTTAAACATCTTCCTGCCAGTGTTCCACAGTCTGTTCAAATTCCTTTTGCTTACATGCAAGTTCATTTAAAAACACAGAATGTACTTACTGTGTCGTAATGTCTGGGGAGGAGATATTTTTTTTCTCCTCAGCTAATTCCTCTTTTAAACTTAACCTTTTAAATCACCGGTGAGGACTGTTACTAAAAATCAGGTGGGAGAGACAAAGGGCTAATTTTCTACAGAATAAAAGTAGGTGTGTGAGACAAAGGAAAAAAAAAAAAAAAGAGTGGCAGTGGTTCTCATTCTGAGAGAGCTTCTAGCTAAATGGCATGATTTTTGTTTGGTTAGACCTGATGGGGTGCGGTGCTTGTTTTTTTGAGTTCCTGAGTGGATTCCTGCAGTCAAAGTTGAAACTCCAAGCATTAGGAACGTAAGATTCACTAGTAAGTAAGTCTTTGTGTTTAGTGGAAATGCTAGCTGTGTGACCTTGCCATATTATTCAACTGTAAGCTTATATTTTAATGATAGGTAGGCAGTGCACCTCACAGTTTAATAGCTATTAGGTAATGAGGACATGGTGGGACCTTGTGGCCTGGGATGATAATACCAGTGCTTTTTAAACATAGTGCTTTGTTTCTTTAATAAAACTAGCAAGACAACCCTTTTGATACTCAGTTAATTAAATGATCTTGAATTGAAATAAATGCTCCAGTATGAAAATAGTAAATGAGGGTTAAGAAAAAGGATTCATACAGAATCTATTTTACAGATGTGGGAAGAATATCCCGATGTTTATGGGGTCAGGAGGTCAAACCGAAGTAGACAAGAACCATCACGATTTAATATCAAGGAAGAGGTAAGAAAAAGTTTTGAGGGCTTACATTTAATTTCCTGTCTAACCTCATCCTTTGTGACTTTGGGATGCAGTACCATTATAAGACTGAACTTTTAGGCAGGAGTTATGTGAGCCTAATGTGAACTTTCTGGAGACAATTTAATTGAGACTAAAAATACAATGCAGAGTGAGCATTGGACCACAGAGTTAGAGAGCGGTGTCACCTTGTTCTCTTAAGTTAAATTTCTCATAGTTAAATTGTAGCAAGAAATTTACTTTTAGAACCTCTAGCTTCCAAATCTAGGTTTGTTTAAATGAGTAACCCGTTTGATGAACAAGTGACACAGTGGAAATAGTTTCAGACTAAGTCCTGGGGAAGGAGGATGGAGCGCTTATTTTTGGTAATGTGTTTTCTCTTGTTTAATTTCTGTAGACTTGGTTTCTGTATGAGATACAAAATTAGTTTCTCATGTATTCACCCTTCTCTCTAATTGTGAGAAATGTAGTAGATTGGTGATTTTTAAAACTGGTATTGTGTACTGGGTTCCCTTGTCTATAGAATCAGATTTTTCTTTCACCTTTCTCAGATTTTGTGATTTTTCATTTTTTTGGAGTTTTAATCTTCATAGTAGGTTTACAGACTAGATTCAGAAGACATACCCTTATCTCAGTGAAATGTCCCCTTTCTGCCCAAGAAGGACTTTGCTGTTTTTAGCTATATTAACAGTCTTCTGATGAAAGTTAGATATTGATAGCCAAAGGTAGTGAGTTGGGTGTGGGTTTTTAGTAAGTGTATTTTAAAAATCTAATTGAGCAAACCTAACCTGCATTCCTTTTGTGATGTTTGGTTTGAAATGACTTCCGAGCCGGATTGCCCTTGCTTTCCTTTTCTACAGTGTCTGATACTAGCTGAGTTACATTTGTTATATCCAGTCACTTCTTTGTATAAATCTTTTCCTCTTTTATATATTAATACATCACATGAGATGAACAGCAATAAGAATAGTTAGAGTTAGAAAACCCTTTTGCTGAGTTTCGGGGAAAAAGCACTGTTCAGTGTCTGTGAGTATAACTCCTTGGCCTAGTGCTATTAGCAGTCCACTTTCACTCACGATTAGACTTGCTGTATAATGAGTCTAAAATGAGTGATCAGTCGTCAGTGCCTTCAAGGCACACTGACGGAATGTGGTGTTTTCATTTGGTACTGTATATTTGCATATTCCTGTGCAACAGTTGCCACTAGTCACATGGCTTTTAAAATTTATAGAACTTAAAGTTAAGTAAAACTTAAAAGTCCGTTCCCCAGTCACACTAGCCACATTTCAAGAGCTCAGCAGTCACAAGTGACTACTGTGTTGGACATTGCAGAGACACAATACTTAGCATCATTGCAGGAAGTTTTATTGGGCGTTGCTGTGTGGAAATCAGCCAAGATAAACCCTTCCTGACTTTAGAGATAACTCAAAGCAAATTCCAGTTAGTGCTACAAAGAAGTGCTTAGGTTTCTTTCTGTCTGGAATCTCATATTGAGTAATGCTGTGTTGAATGGATTGTTGAGCCAGGAGATAGCATTGTCCCAAAGAATGTAAATTAAAGTCTAATCCTGTTCCCCTCATACACTGAAGGCAAGTAGCGGGTCTGAGAGTGGAAGCCCAAAAAGAAGAGGCCAGAGGCAGCTGAAAAAACAGTAAGTCTCTCATGGGGGAAATGACTTCACCTGGTTGTTGTGAACATGTCAGCACATCTAGGACAGTCTGCATTATGTCTCTGTCCCTGCTGCCAGCATCTGCTTCTGTCTCTCAGGAGCTTAGGGTACTGCCTGTCCTACCTTGTTGCAGTGTCAGCAGTATTTGGACCCCAGTATTCTCAGTTTAACACACAGAACAGTTACACATAGATTTGGACTATTTCAGGGGGCAGACTCTAGCTCCTATCTGGTTAAGCCAATTAGATTAATTTTTTCTTAAAAATATGTATAAATACCAAATATTTAAGGAACAAATTTAAATTTTCCATTTTTCATTTTCTCTTTGTGTTGGCATGGCAAAATTATATTGGTTGTGCACCCATTTTGGTATGAAATACATTCTGTTGTTTCCACATAATTTTTTCTGCTTTAAGGCAGGGTCTTGCTATGTAGTACAGACTGGCCTCAAACTCATGATCTTTCTGCCTCAGTATTCCTAGTGCTGGAATTATAGATGTGTACTATCCTGCCCAAGCTTTGTTTCTAGAAAATTTTATATCGTTATTCATTAGTCAGGAAATTTTATGTATGTGTGTATGTATGAATATATGTATGTATATTTGGTGGGGTTTGAACTCAGAACCTTGGGCTTCTAGGTAGGTGTTCTACCACTTGAGCCAGGCCCTAGCAGGCTAGAAAATTTTAATTCTTCAGCTTAATGTATACTAATTATCATCTTTTTTCTTTTTTTGGCAGTACTGGGGTCTGAACTCAGGGCCTCACCCTTGCTAGGCAGGCGCTCTGCCACTTCAGCCATTCCGCCAGCCCATCTTCAGCTTAATGTAAAAACACTTTACAATATAGATCGTATAGTTCTGTATTTTTAATTAAACAATTCTACTTGTGGTGAAAAAGTATTTTTTTAGAAATAAATTCTGAAATTGTTTTCTGGAGAGGATGCAAGTCTGTTCTCTGTGTGAGCTCTGTAGATGGTCTTGGGGAAGTGTAGGCGCTTGAAACCTTGCACAACAGCCCACATGTTCTGTTTAAAACAGTTGTCTGCAGATTCCTTAGGGGCTTGTTACATAATAGGGCTCTAGACTAGTAGTCATTTTTAATAAGCAGATGAGGCAAATCACTTAAGCCATTTGTTTGTTTCTAGGGTCTCACTGTGTAGCCCAAGTGTGCCTTGAACTCTTAATCCTCCTGCCTTTACCTTCCAAGTGCTGGGATTACAGAAGTGGGCCACCACACTGGCTTGAAATTTTTTTGGTTTTTTTTGGGTGGTACTGGTGATTGAATTAGGGTCTTGCACTTGCTAGGTAGGTGCTCTACCACTTGAGCCATGCCACCAGCTCTTTTTGTGGTGGTTATTTTTGAGATAGGGTCTTGCTTTATGCCTTGGCTGGTCTGGACCTTGATCTTCCTATTTGTGCTTTGTGTGGTAGCTGAGATGACAGACACACACCACTGTGTCCAGCCAGTGGTTGAGGTGGGGGGCTTCCGAGTTTTTTGCCCATACTGGCCTCGAACTGCGGTCTCCCAAGTAGTTAGGAGCACTGGCGCCCAGCAGCTTTGAGTTTTTTAAACTCCGTTTCCTCATCTCTAATCGAGAGTAATACTCCCTGTTAGTACCCAACAGGCAATAAAAATTGTCATAAGATTTTGTGATAGCATTTGCAGATTCTTAAAGACCTTTGTAGAGAAGTCAAGTATTTAATTTGTCCTGTCAGAATATACCCAGTTTCTAATAGTGGTTTTTGTTTTTTTGGTTTTTTTTTTTTTTTAGCAGTACTGTGGTCTGAACTCAGGTCCTTACACTTGCTAGGAAGGTGCTCTACCATTTGAGCCACTCCGCCAGCCCTTTTCTTGCAATGGGGTTTTTTGAGATGGGGTGTCTCTAACTATTTGGCTCCTGGGCTGGCTTGGAACTCTGATCTTCCTGAGCTCTGTCTCCTAATTAGCTTGATTCCTTACGCCTTTTCAGCGTGTTGAATTGGGAATCTGTCACACACCTATGGCATAGTGGAAGAGAATCCTTGTTAGTTAGATTGGAATTGTTCTTGAAAGGCATTCTCTTGGGGAAATGTACTGAAAATTGGACAAGTTAAAGTAGCTGTTTCTTTTTTTTTGCTCAGGATTAAAAAGCTCATGTATTTGCACTTCAAGGTTTAATTCAGTGAGAAATTTACATCATTGCAAAAAGTAGCTCTTTTCCACATGTGCCTTCGACAGTGGAGGAGAAAGGGATTCTTCTCTTTAGGCTCTTAGAAAGATTTAGTACAAACCTCTGTAACTCTTGCCTAAAATTCAGGCCCATTACACTTAGAAGTTGCTTTTACTCATTACCAACTTTACCGTTGCTTAGATTTGATTTGCCTCTCTCTGGGTTTATGTCCTGTGAACCTTGTCTTCCCAAATAAGAAAAGTTAACTATATCCAGCTAACTTGAATTCAGACTTCTTGCTTCTTTATATTACCTTGTGGCCTTACTTGCTAAATTTTGGTATTTTTTTCCCCCAATTTCCAAAATTTGAACAAAAATTCTGTTGGTGTCTTTCCTGGATATGAAGGTTCAAGTTTCCTTTGCATAGGAAGCATTTTTTACTCATGATCTTACATCTTAAGACTCTTCTTTTCTATACTGAGACTTACAGGGTGTGGCTTAGTAGGGGAGTCTTCATAAAATCTGCATTTATAAGAAACCAATAATGTCGGGATATGAATAGCAGTTTTATATGTTGTAGGGCGCTATACATTGGTAAGGTTGGGAAGTAATCCTTTTATAACTGATAATCCCCCCTTTTTTTTTTTTTTTACCTCAGCTCTTCTACAAGGTGACTCAGTACTTCTGATCCTAACTTTTTTCTTGTCTTTGAAAATTAAAATTTCAAATAATCTGGCCAATTTCAAATGCACATACACCTTTTAAACCTCCAGTTGTTGAGATCCTTCTGGAATGTGTAAGTCCATTTTAATTTTTCTTGATTGTTTGGTACTCAGTGGGTTGTGATGGAGAGCATTAGGGCAAGAGGTTTGTTCTGTGGCAAAGGACCGTGTTCTGTCTGGGCTTCAGTTCCCTTCTCTGGGAGGAGGGTTTTAGAGCAGTTGATTTTGTAAGTATTTGGTTTTCTTTCTTTTTGCAGCAGTGGGACTTGAATTCAGGGCCTTCACCTTGAACCACTCCACCAGCCCTATTTTTTTGTGAAGGGCTTTTTGAGGTAGGGTGTCATGAACTGTTCGCTCAAGCTGGCTTTGAACCTGGATCCTCCTGATCTCTGCCTCCTCAGTAGCTAGGATTATAGGCGTGAGCCACTGGCACCCAGCTTTTTTTTTTTTTTCCCTCCATTCTTGTATTGGGAAATCCTAAGTCCTGGCTCTGGCTGTCTACAGATTTGTTACTTTAAGTGGAAACCTCTGGCTCAACACACATCTCACAGCTTGTGGGCATTTTAGTCTTCTGCACTCTTCAAAGTAGACTTCACTGACAGCCCTGGTTTAGATTCTCCATTCCTGGTGGAGATAACGCAAATTAGACCTAACGCTTGACTGTGTGGATCCTTCTTATCTGATCTGCTTCTTGGATCTGAATTTGTTCCTGTTCTTTGAGCTTGTTCCCTGTGAAGCCATGTTACAGTGTGAGTGAATGTCTTCAGGGTAAACTATTGCGGACTTGGTTCAGGGGAGTCTTAGACCCACATGCCAGTCTCCCAGGCTTTGGTGACATCGCCTTCTTGGTGATTACCTTCTCCTCGGCTTTTTTTTTGAGACACGGTCTTGCTATGTAATCCAGGTCATCCTTAAATTTGACATTCTTCTATCTCATCTGCCCAACTGCTGGGATTAAAGGTATGTACCACCATGCCTGATTTCTTTGGATTCCTTAGCAGATGTTTATTATACTATAGTCCAGGGAAGGAGAGGAAGACAGGTTCCCAGAGTGTGGTTAGATATAAAGATGTCTTTATTTAAAGAGACTGACTGATAGATTTCAGCCAACAAGAGACTACTGTCTTATCAGTCCCCTTGCAAAAAGTACCCATACATACCTGACTGAGTCAAAAAGTACCTATACAGACTGCTATGACTCATTTCTGAATTGATGTCTTTACTTAATAAAGGGTCAGAGTTTGTTCTAAGCTTTGGTGCAAAGGTGAACAAAAGGCATCATGTGCAGGGGAAATGGACATGAAAACAGCAGTACTAGTAGAATTGGAGCAACGTAAGTGACGTCCGTCATGGTGCTTCACTGCCTTTTGTGGACAGCTTGAATTCTTTCCCCAAGTCTCTGTCAGTTCAGGCAGCAGGTAGCTCCTGCAGGTTTTAGAAAGCATCTGAGGAATCTGCAGATCCCCCACCCCCTTTCTTCTTGGCAGTGAGCTTTCTCTGTAATCTTGACCTGTTCCCCTACGAAGAAGATTAAGTTGACTTTGTAGTTCTGTAACAGTTCTTTTTTTGGTGGGACTGGGGTTTGAACTCTGGGCTTTGTGCTTGCAAAGCAGGAGCTGTACCACTTGAGCCACACCTCCAGTCCATTTTGCTTTGGTTATTTTGAAACTAGGGGCCTCTTGAACTATTTGCTTTCACTGGTCTCTTAAGTGTGATCTCCCAATCTCAGCCTTTAAAGTAGTTAGGGTTATAGATGTGAGCCACCAGTGCCCCACCTGTGGCCAGCTCGACCGTATTCCCTGTAAGAGACCCAGGCACAGTGGTAGTTTTGTTTATAGAGCAACCTTTGGCCTTTGCCTGTCATAGTTTTTTCCTAGGTATTTCATGCCCAGTAGCTATTACATTTTCTTCCTCATTACAGGTGCGAAATGAGATCTAGTCCCTTTGATGTCTTGTTTGGTGTTTAAGCATATTAAAACTGTTTGGGGTAGAAGGATACCTATAGTTTGTAGCTCTTTCAATCCTTATGAGAGCTCAAGGAGTAAAGGAGCTACTTAATTTAATAATTATTAAAAACTGCATCTTGACTTGCATAAATTACTTACTCAGGTGGTAGGTTTATCATTGAGAGATAAATTCAAGGACCGTGTTCTTAAATATGTTCTAAAGATTTAAAATATTTAATATAGAACTGGGTGTATAGCTCAGTGGTAGAGTGTTTTCCTAGCATGGTGCAAGACACTGTTTGATCCCTAGCAACACCTGTGTGCACATGCGTGAACACACACACACACACACACAAACACTTCATGGTTCTCAAGGAAGGGTATACCTAGTGTAAGCACTGTATGTGGATTTATTAAAATTCAGTTTTAGGCCTCATTTGAGATCTTTTGAATCAGAAACTCTGATTGTAGCCCCAAAATCTTTTTAAAGAAGCCCTTCAGGTTGTTGTGATGCATGCTAAAAAATCTTGTCAATGATATAGTGATAAACAAAATATAATGTGAAGAATCTAACAGCACTTTTCTTTCCAGAACAAATGGTTTGAAAAACACATCCATAGCTGGCAGAGTGGCTCAAGTGGTAGAGTGCAAATGTGACTCCCTGAGTTTGAACCCCAGTACCCCTCCCTCTAGAAAGAGTTAAACATGAATAAATAAGCTGGATGTGGTGAGGTATACCTGTAATCCCAGCTACAGCTACTCAGGGGGCTGACGAAGGAGGATTGCAAGTTCAAGGCCAGCCTGGGCTACATAGCAAGACCCTGTCTCAAAATAAAAAAATAAGAAAAACACATCCATAGTTTCCGTTTATATTTATTTTTGTTACCAGAGTTGAAACAGAAATGCATATTATGTAGTCCCAAGAAGGATCATAACCAAAATTTAGAACTAAAGCTATATTTTGAAGATATATTTAAAATAGTGTGACCTGCTTTTCAGACAGTTGGATTGAAATTTGTTTTGTGAGATTGTTAAACTTGCAGAATTCTTTTAGAAAAAATTTATTGTGTTTCGCTTTTGATCTCAGAGAAAAATGGAAACGGGAGCCCTCAGAAGATGAACAGGAACAAGGCACCAGTGCAGAGAGCGAACCAGAGCAAAGGAAAGGAAAACCCAGAAGGCCTATCCCCAAAAGGTGCAGTTTGCTTATTAAGTCTCTGCTTCAGGATGAACTTTTAACTTGCATTGCATAGGAAGGGTGATATCCTGCTGGGGAGGGAGAGTGCCTTAGTCACTTGGGACAAGAGTCTCCTGTGTAGTCCAAATTGGCCTTGAACTTGTAATCCTTCTGCCTCAGCCTTCTGCTGTGATTACAGGCATGCGCTACCACACCCAGGTCTGTATAGATGTGATAATGGATTTTTTTTCTCCCTATCATGGGACTTCTGGTACTTTTTATTTGCATATATTAGTTGTACAGAATGATGGGTTTCATTTTGACATTTTCATACATACATGTGTTGTGCTTGGATCATATTCATTCCTCAACAGCAGGTCTTACTGTTCTTAGTTCATAGCAGTCTAGTTGGGGTTTGTGTGTAAACACATTTGCTTTAAAAATAAATAAATAAATAAAACTCCCTGAGTGTTTGCTACAGGGTACAAGTTCTTTTCGGGGAGAATTAATTTTTTAAGTTTAAAGCTGTCTTAGACTGATTTAAAGCATGTTGATTGTTTGTAACCTTGTTCATGTAATGTATATGACATTAAGCAGGAAATCCAATTCTGTGGAGAAGGAGTAGGCTAAAATGGGAGCAAATTTTGGTTATGTCTGATCAGATGGCAGCCTAAGGTACTGGTGATAGACAGAGGAAGGCCCCAGGGAAATTGTACCTCCTTGCACTATTGCTTAGCTTGATAATAGCTCTGAATTTGAGTCCTAATTAAGTGAAATTTTATCCTGTCAGGAAGAATTCTGTTCTTTAATTTTTAGGTATATTTGTCACAAAAATTATATTAAATGGTTAATTTAGCTTGATTTTTGTCAATAAAAATTGGTGATAAGTACTCATATAATGGCCTCAGTTTTGCCTCTTTGCTGGCAAAACCTGAAATATTTTCTCTCTGGCCACTTACAGAAAAAAACTGCCTAGGACATTATACCTGTCTTTCAGCCCATCAGGGGGTACATCAGCTGCTTTACCTTCCATCTCAGTCAAAGTTCCTAGGAAGAAAGTGTCACTCTGCTTTCTAGGTTTTTACCCATTATTTATTGAATCCTTGATCTCTTGTCTAGGGTTGGTGGTGGCAGGTATGAAAAACAGATTAATGTGTCTGCGAGTTTCCATCTTTCTCCTACTTCTTTCACCATTTTATCATTAGCATTTGAGGATGTCCTCATGTGAACTTCTAGGCTGTGGCTTTCAGTCCTGACGTCATGAGACTCGTGAGAGACTCGTGAGAGGGATTCCCGTTCCAGAGGGTCTGGGGCAGAGCACAGTCTGCTAGGTAGTCTTTCAGGTGTACGTTATGCACATGTACGAAATACATGTGTAGTTACCTTTATTCTCTTTATCACAGATAGCTGCATACTGTGCAGCCCTGGTGCATGTTCCTGTCTTTAACTGAGAAATCTGTGCATAGCAGTATTCTGAAACTCCCTTTTGTTTTTTAATCACTAAATAGTACTCTATTACCTGAAGGTGGGCATTTAGAATATTTCTAATCTTATTATTGCAAGTGATGCCATACTGAATGTTATGCTTGTAAGATTAATTCCTACAAGTAAAATTGTTGTATTTTAAAGTAAATGGCATTTGCCACCATGTTACCTATGTATTTTTTTGTCAGATGAATTGAGAACCATTCACACTATCTCTTGTGTATCTTTGAGGATTATCAGCATTCAAATCACCTTCATGTTGAAATTATAGCTAGCTAGTCAGTAAGAATTTCAGAGATTGGGATCAGAAATACCTGTTTCATGTTCCCTGAGTGAATTTTATATACGTACCACTGCTCTGGGAAATATTACATAGATTTGATGTAGATACTAAACGATAGAGTGAAAATGTTGCCATTTTTTCTCTTCATTTTAGAACAGTGCCCAAATCTCGTGTTAAAAAGCAGCCTAAGATCCAGCGTGGCAAGAGGAAGAAGCAAGAGTCTTCTGATGACGACGATGATGATGATGAGGCTCCCAAAAGACAGACTCGTCGAAGAGCAGCTAAAAATGTCAGGTGAGTTGTGCCCCACAAGTTTCTCATGGTTGCGAGGAGGATAGTGATTTGGTTAGAATTTGGTTCTCATTAGTCTAAGATTATGCAGTTCATAGGTAAAAGTAGCAACCAATGTGCTAAAGTTGCTTTCAGGCATCTGGTCACCCTTCTTGGAAGAAGAATGGTGTTGAGCCAAGTGGAGTAGGAGAGAGCAGCATTCGCTCCTTTAACACTGCTTCAAGTTTGTGGCCTGTCTTAGTGGTTGTGGTCTTCCTTTTATAAAATTCTTTCAGGAACAATGTTTTCATTTCTGAATTATTATTATTTTTTAAAGTACTGGGGATTGACCCCAGCGCCTTAAGTACTCTCCCACTTGAGCCATGCCCCAGTCTATGAATTACTCTTTTGAATCATGCAGATTTTTCTGAGGGTCTGTGTATATGTTGAAATTTGTATATAGTTTTATCAGAACTTAGGGATAGGGTATGAAACATTAGAAGTGAAATAAAGACATATGCAAGTATTGATATTTTACTTTAAAGGAATGGAAGGACATTGAATTTTCTTTTAGAGCATATGCAGATTTCTTTGGTTTACTTAGAAATGGTGAAATTTGAGCTGTAGAGTTAATACTTACTTGTCTGATGAACAGTTACAAGCTAGGATATGCTGGTATAAGACTCAGCACTTTTTCTTAGTATAACTGTACTGCATCTAGAAGCATGTTTTTCTTTTTTATGACTCCCAAACTATTGTTATTATATTGAAAAGGTTATATCTTAGCTATCTATATATTTTTTTGTTTTGTTTTGTTTTTTTGGTATCTCTCAGTATATAGATAGCCTGGCCTTGAACTAAAGATCCTCTTGCTTCAGCCTTCTAAGACCTGGGATTACAGGTCAGTTTTTCTATGCCTGACTACATTTTGTATTTTATTATCAGGAAGTTTGTTTCTTAAAATTCTCAACAGTTTGGGAATACATAAATTTCATATTCTTGTTATTGGGACATAAAATACAAGATTAAAACATTTTATTTAAGGAATATTACTTCCCATTGAAATAGTAGGCATTTTTTTCTTTCATTATGTATTTTCTTTGTGATAATTTCCTTGGCAACATAGAAATGATCTGATACTAAAAAGTGAAAAAAAGAAAAATCAAGCCCAGGAGCGTCGCTGTTGATTTTTGTCTTACTCTTACACAAATCAGGGTGAATACAGTGTCTTGTTCGTCTTACTTGAGCAGGCGTCAGTAGTTGAAATAGAGAAAAGTAAGTGTTGAGCCCACTGAGTGTCAGTATGGAAAGCAGCATGTTGAAACCAAGAGGTCCTTACGTAGTGACATTATCACCACATACGGCACTGCTTCACTCACGCAGCATCATTTCTCGTGCAGCTATAAAGAAGACGATGACTTTGAGACCGACTCAGATGACCTCATAGAGATGACTGGAGAAGGAGTTGACGAGCCACAGGAAAACAGCGAGACTATTGAAAAGGTTTTAGATTCCAGACTGGGCAAGAAAGGAGGTTTGTGTCATTGGGAAGCAGATTACTTTTTATATCTGTCCAGTGAGGCCCAGATTTTATATGTTTGAACTTTGATACGATGAATTTCAGTGCACACTTACATTTGTTGTGAAAGGTGGAAGGTCTTAGTCATCATATTTCAGAGTTGAGTACAAAGGAATGCATCTGTCTTCAAGATTTTAAATTAAGCTGGTAAAGAGAAGTGTTAATGGTTTACAAAGCAGTGATATAGCAGAAACAGTTTCTCCTTAACATTAAACAAATCATTGTTTAAGTATTTCTGAATCTACTTGTAAATGTTGATCAAACTTGTTAAATTTTGACTAAGAAGCTTTAAAAAATACCTATTTGAGATGTCTCAAGTTAGTTGCTTCCATAAAGGAAATACCAAAATAATATGTAATACACTTTTTTGTCCTCCCTTCCTTTTTTTTTTTGTTTTTTGTTTTGAGTTAGGATCGCCCTCTGTAGCCCAGTGTGGTTTGGAACTCATGATCTTCCTGCCTCTGCCTCCCAGGTGCTGGGATTGCTGGCCCCGTGCCTCCTTCCCCCTTCTTGTTTTCCCCATTCTGGCTTCATGGAGGTTAAAGGAGTTAATAGAAGGTCTTGGGAGGGTGTTTTGATCCTCTGTTTATTTTGCTGAAGTCTTTTGAGTTTGTAGCAACCAAAAAAGGGAAAGAAAAAAAAAAGACTATTACTGCTCCATTTTTGCTGTTTGGACACAGGATCTCCTCTGCAAATCTTTCAGTGCATTTTAAAATATAAAAGTAGAGTTAGCATTTCAACACTGTTGATCAAGTCCACCCTGTGTTGTGAGTTTCTGCTTATTTTAAGTCAGAGTAATTTGGTATTTCATCCCAAGAAGAGATTCTGTAGACAGTTACTTATTTGGGAAGGTTTTTATTGTCTGCTTTCATGTGAAGCTTATACCTCAATCCTTTTTGCAGCCACTGGAGCTTCTACTACTGTATATGCTGTTGAAGCTAATGGAGATCCTAGTGGTGACTTTGACACTGAGAAGGATGAAGGTGAAATTCAGTACCTCATCAAGTGGAAGGGTTGGTCTTACATTCACAGCACTTGGGAGAGTGAAGAATCTTTACAGCAACAGAAAGTGAAGGGCTTAAAAAAGCTAGAGAACTTCAAGAAGAAAGAGGATGAAATCAAACAATGGTACATTTCCCATCATGGGTTAAAATGTTATTTGCAGCCTGAGGGAAGGGGAGGCTTTTTAAATTATGTATGGAGAACAGCACAGCTATCTGGGATCTGAGCTTTTGACTTGATAATCTGAATGTAGAGGCATCTATAGTTCAGTTTTATAAAGTTGTGACCTGAAGACGATATATTTTATATGTTGTGTGTGTGTGTGTTACATGCATTTTGTGGACAGCTGCTGAGTTTTTAGAGTTAATATTATTAAGTGGTTCATTGAGCATTGTTCACACGTTGTCTTTTTAGTTTTGACAGTGAGGGTGTGAGGTTTGTAATTTGTGGCCACACAAATACAGAGCAACACTGCAAGTGCATGCAGGATTTGAATTTTAGCAGCCTGAGTCCAGAGCCCATCTCGAAAGCACCTTATTTTTCCTGTGGTTAGGCGGGGATAGCTTAGATATGAAGAGTTAGTATTCTTATTTATGATATACTTGAAACCAATTTCAGTTCTTATACAATTTGCAGAAATTATTTAAGGTTGTGTTTTAAAAATTGCAGACCTAAATACTAATAAAGCTTGCTATACTGAAGGGACAGGTGGAAGCAAGTTTCATTTTCTGCCTTGGAATTTTGCCCTGATGTATGTGTATAGAGTCTCAAAATCTAATTGGTATATTTCTTAACTTTTTGTCTTCTGTCTAGGTTAGGGAAGGTTTCTCCTGAAGATGTGGAGTATTTCAATTGCCAACAGGAGCTAGCCTCAGAGTTGAATAAACAGTATCAGATAGTAGAACGAGTAATAGGTAAGTACATGGAAATGTAGTTTGGTCATATATAAACTGAAAGAATAATGGCTTTTGGTTTTAGGATAATGTAAATGTGCATTTTGTAGGTGTACTTTTTGAGACTAGACAGATGCTTAGTTTTATTTTAAAGTTTTAAAGGAAAAGCTAACAAGATTTGCTCATCAGTTTGGGTGTGGGGGATGAGAGAGAAGTGTCAGGGATAATGTCAAGGTTGTTGGCTTCAGTATAGATGAGAATAGAGGCATCATTTGCTGAAAGGTGAATGAACTGATTTTTGGAGTGAAAATCAAGAGTTTAGTTTGTGAGACTTGTAACTTTGATACACTTTTTGCCATCTAAGTGGAGACTGTTTTGAAGGGTAGAGCATATGTGAGCCTGGAGTTTAGGACTCTTAATCTGCTCTAGAGATGTAAAGTTAAAGCCTAAAATTTAACGAGGTCATGAGAAATAGAGTATGCACGGTGAGAGGAAGTAGTTTGAGAATATTCCAACCTGTGGAAGTGGAAATGAAGCCAGCAGAGGGGACTGGAAAAGAACAGTCCCTGAGCTAGGAGGAGAGCAGAGCAGTGGAGGTGATTCCCCCACTGTAGTGGAGGAAATGGTAGTCAGGACGGCAAGGACTGGGGCTTCACTGTGAATTTGGCAATTGGTTTGGCATTACTGACCCATGAATTAGTGGCAGTGCTGGCCATATTGGAGTGGGATCAAGAGAGAATGAGAGGGGCGCTAAGTAAAACAGTGCTGCAGTGGCGTTTTCTTCTAAAAGGAGCAGAGAGAGAGGGAGTCGAGACCAGTTTTTTTCTTTTTCTTTTAATGTGAGATAGGAGGGCATGTATTCTCATAAAATCTTTCTCTTTTTCTTGGTATGGTTATAACTTCATTCTCCTTGCATTTGTTTAGCTGTGAAGACAAGTAAATCTACATTGGGACAGACAGATTTTCCAGGTATGCAGAGATCTCGTTTAGAAATGTTAGTTGGCGTTTAAGAATATTTCATGTTTGGCATGTTACTTAAAGTTTGCCATATGGTTTTCATTGGTTACATATAAAAACAATGTTACTCTCACTTTCACATGTTAACCTATAAATTTTTATATATGAAATAGCTCACAGTCGGAAGCCAGCCCCTTCAAATGAACCTGAATACCTATGCAAGTGGATGGGCCTGCCCTATTCAGAGTGTAGCTGGGAAGATGAAGCCTTGATTGGAAAGAAATTCCAGAGCTGTATTGACAGCTTCCACAGTCGGAACAACTCAAAAACTATTCCAACGAGAGAATGCAAGGTGTGGTGATTGTTGGTTTTTGGTTTTTCAGGGGAAAGATGTACCAATACAAGAGGTTAGTTATAGACATTGAGAAGCAAATATATTGCAGGAGTTATATGATTGTCATTTTGAAGTGAAAGGAGATGACTTAAGAGTGAGGTTGAATAAAAGTAATTACAGCAGAAAGGTGAGTTATATAATGGCTTTGCTGACTAATTTTTTAACATGTAAAATTATATTATGGGGAATACTAGAAACTAGGCACTTTAAAAGAGAAAAGATAGGAAGGGGGGATGTCTCTGAATTCTACAACAGAAACTAAATATACTGGTTTTTTATTTGCTAGATTGGTTATAGAAATCCTTTTCCTTCATTGGAATTTGTCCCATCTGGAAAGTAGTATACTTGGATTTTCAGAGTAATAAACATATGATATTCATGTTAATGACACTAAATGCCAGTTTGTGAAAGCCAGCTTGTAATTACAGGTCATTGTGTGGTAGAGGTCAGAGAAGTACAAAGGTAGAAGTCACTCAACTTCCTGTCACTGAAGGTGTTAAGAGCAAACTGGTGTTTGAACTGCTTCTAGCCCTTGAAGAATAGATTGGTGCTTGATAGACCAATAAGAAGGGGCCCAGGGATTTGCCCTCCCATGAAAGGTACCAAGAGAAAGATTTTTGTAGTAGAAACTAGCAGAGGAGGGAGAGAGAGATGATGTTGGTGAGTTGAGTGCATTTTCATCAAAGCATGTATGTCTTGACTCCCTTGAAGGAAGGCCATTTTGACTTTTTCTTAACAGCTAATGGTGTCTACTGAGTAGGGCAGCAGGGTGAGAGCAGTGTTTTATTTAGAAAGCTTCATCTAATGGCAGTGTGTAGGAGACTGGTGCCAGAAGATCTAGCCAGTAAGATGCCATAGAACATGAATGAAGAATTAGCGTGAAGGACGTAGCTGTGGCATGGAAGGATTGGACGGAGTAGATGGATGGCTGGTGTGTGGAGGGTGAGAGTGAAGAGTCAGTCCATTCACTGCCAGGTCCCTTCACATAGTGCAGTGGAATTATCAAACACTGTGTAGGACAATATTTCTTAGAGTATGCTCCACAGAGCACTAACTTTCAGAAAAAATATTCCCTGGAAAAAATTTCTGTGCTGAATAAGTTTTCTCCTGTAAATTCACACTGTATATACACATGGTTAGACTTTGAAAAGTCATGGAGTAAAGAAATTTCTAACTTTTGGAAACCATTGTTTCCCAGTATGATTTGGCCACAAAATCCACATTTTATGCAAAGAATACAGATTTGGGCTTACCAGAACACTAGTCTTCAAAGCTTTGGTGGTGAAAACAGCAACCTTTCTTTCAGTCAACCACACTTACATAGTTGGAGGCTCGAAGTGGGTGGGTCGTAGGCTAGAATTTCTTAATCTTACTGTGGTAATTCTAGGGTTACCTCTTTAGCTACATTTAACATATGACAGACTTTCCCAGAGGCATTTTGTTTGTACTGCTTACCATAAAGAAACCTCTGTGTGGGAAAGCAGGCAATTCTCACTGCCATACAGTGAAGATGATGTAAAAAACAAAGGGCTAGTTAATGTTGCTCACAAACTTATTTGAGGAAAGCAGCAAGTTAACTAAAAATTACTTTGTTTCAGGATGAACTCTGGGAGCATGGAGTACAGGAAAGGGGTTGGGGTTCATCTGTGAAATTTAAGTTTTTGTGCTTCATCTACACTACATAAATTGTGGCTAACATTTTCACTGGAGCAGTGAGAAAATATTCTCAGACCAGGGCTTTGTTTTTCAGGCCCTGAAGCAGAGACCACGATTTGTAGCTTTAAAGAAGCAGCCAGCATATTTAGGAGGAGAAAATCTGGAGCTCCGAGATTATCAGCTAGAAGGTCTCAACTGGCTTGCACATTCCTGGTGCAAGTAGGTGAAAATATGTTTGAAATTTTCTTCACTGTTTGGCTTCTTTATTGTCAACCTAATTAAGTAAGTGCTAGGGACCCATGAGGACCTTGAATTTGACAGATATGATTTCTCTGTCCATATGGAATGTGTAATGTGAGAAGTACCTTTAATGCTTATGTTCAGATTCCGTCCCCACATACAAATTCGTAATTTGTTTTATAGCAAAGCAAAAACCCTTACTTCAGAATTAAATTAAAACCTAAACTAAAAGCATACAAGTTTTTCCTTAGTTCTGGAAAGATCATTTCTAGTTGTACAGATACATTGATAGTGACTTTCCCAAGTGAACCAACTACCTACTACTCTTTGTCTTATAAAGTTGAGTATAATATTTAATATTTGACTATGAAAATTACTTATTTTGAGGAGTTCGTGTGACTGAGCATGTTTCTTACAATCACTAAACTGCATGAAAAGGATTTTCCTTTCAGAGGATAATGCATCCTGATCTTTCTAAAAGGCAGAAGTGTAGGTGTAACTTTAAGAAATTGTATAATCTAACCCTTCTGTTTTACAGTTGAGGGTTCTTAGGAGCACAGGAGCCATGCACCTGGTCCAAAGTTAAATAGTATTTTGAATGTGATCTTCGGTTAACTTTTTTTCTTTCCCTTAAACTTTAAACTGAAGAATTAAATATAACTGATAAAGGACCCAAGTTGTTGTTCAGGCCTGGTCACAGGAATGTCCCGTGGTGGTGTGATTTCAGGAAAACAGATTATTTGATTCAAATCATTTTAATCTACATATGTCAACAGTAGTAGTTTCTTAGGGAAAAGAAACAGTAGAGTAACCCTGCTTTTTGCTCAACATCGCGGAAAGGTGGAGGACGTGAGAGGGAAATTATTCAAAGGAATATACTGTAAACTACACAGAAAGTGAGGTGTATGCGAGATTTTTAGTAGTACACACCCTCATTTTTTCCTAGCGTGGTCTACTGTTCTTTTCTGTACTTTACCGCTGAAACTAGCTATGCTGTGGAATACAGTGTATTTTAACTTTTTTTTTTTATCTGTACCTGGTGAATTCTATTGTTGTTCTAGGCAGTTAAGTTGCCTTTAATTTGTATATTACTTTTACCTGTTCTTTTTTTTTTTTTTTAATTTTTTTGGGCACTACTCAGGGCTTTGCACTTACTAGATGAGTGCTCTACTAATTGAGATATGCCATTAGCCCATTTTATATGTTATTTTTAGTTCTCTCTGCTTCACCGGTTAAACTTTCATTACATATGTACGAACTTTCAGTGGCCTTACATATTTATGTATTTATTTTGCATGGTAAGAAGATTATTTTTTAATTTTAAGTGTAGATTGAGTGACATGGCTGTAGTTGAAACGGGGAGGGGCTGGCCTGCTTGGGGCAGCAGCCTCTTTAGTAGAACAGGAGCAAGAATACAAATATTCCAATGTCTCTACCACAAATCCCTCTCATCAGGAATGCAGGAAAGTAGCAGAGCAAAGACCCATACCTCGTCCTGAAGGGAGCAGACCCTGCCTGCTTTGGCCATACCTCCTACCATCCCCAGTTCCAAACAGCGGTGTGCTAAAGTTTCTCCCATCCAGAGAGACATGATGAGCTAGTGTGATAATTAGTCCTCAGGTCTATTTTGGGGTAAAAGGATCAGAAAAGACAGGAAGGAAGGGGTGACGAAGGACTCTCGCCAAGCTTAACTGGGCAGAGCTCTCTCAGAGGAACTGTGTCAGCACCTTCATTCCCCTCCTTCTTAGGCTCTGAAGGCAGGAAGGATTGCCTGTATCAGGCACGTAGAGCTCTGAAGGTAGCAAGTGGGAGACACAGAAGAGCACAGCTGCTGAGTTGATAGATAGCATTGGGGTTGTACCACATAAGCAGCCTGGTATTGGGAGGATGAAGGACACAGACAAAGAGTTAAGAGTAACCAGCAACAAGAGACTGTAACAGAAACAGATGCAGTGCTGTGTGGGTCCTGGATACCCCTAGAGCTTGGGGACACCTAGAAACCACAGCGTAGGGCGGACATTAGTCCAGGACACAATTTTAAAGAATCTTTAATAATGTTTGCAGTCTTATGTCATACACACAGATTCCTAAGTTTTTGCCAAATGGGCTACTTTGTTTCTCAAAGTATTATTCTTTATTTTTTTCCTTATATTTGGACAGGTTTTTTTAATTTTTTTTTTAATTTCTAGGTGAAATCCAGCCCATTTCCTAGAGCACTGTTTTTCAAACTGTGGTTCACAGAACACTGCATCAGAATCTTCAAAGGTGTTAGTCCTCAGACTCCCGAGGCCATTTCCAGATAGTCTTATCCCGAGGGTCTAGGGTGATGTCCAGAAATGTGATCTGCAGCCTCCCCTGCTTTAGACTGGTATATTTAAAATAAACCCTTTGCCCTTGCAGCATGTATGCCTAGGGAATGTGTATACAATGCAAAACAACCCACCATGGCATATAGTGGAATGCAAAGTTACTTGAGAGGAAGGTTGAGGATTCACCAGCAGTAGCGATAGCCATCTGCTCATGTTTGCTGTGGTGTTGTGATGCAAGCTTACATGCTTAGATGCACCTAAAATAATCTGTTAACATGGGATAGCCTGTGGAAGATAATATAATTCAGGGCCTTAAATCAAAATAAAGAATATAGTCTGACTAGATTCTTATAATCTACATCCTGAATTTATAGATCACTTGTTACTCTGCTGCTTATAGCTTCTGTTTATTTCCTTATGTAGGAAGCTTAAGTAATCACAGATAAAGGGGAATACATTTAAGGTTTTCATCTGATGCTTTTCTCTGCTGTCAGCATGAAGCACTGGTATTTGTGCACGTACTTTTTTGGTTAACCCATGCTTGTTTTGTTTTTACTTTTTTCTTGCTGCAGAAGTAACAGTGTAATCCTTGCTGATGAAATGGGCCTAGGAAAGACCATCCAGACCATATCATTCCTGTCCTACCTGTTTCACCAACATCAGCTGTATGGACCCTTTCTTATAGTCGTCCCTTTATCCACCCTCACTTCATGGCAGAGGGAGTTTGAAATCTGGGCACCAGAGATTAACGTAGTGGTTTACATAGGTGACCTGATGAGCAGAAATACGGTGTGTAAACAACAAGAGTTGTGATAGAGTCTGTGTTGTAAATGTATTTTGGAAATTGATCTAAACTGTTCATAGCATTATTAGTAAAGTTTTGAATAAAATTATTTGGACACTGTGCTATCTTAATATTAGTTTTAGATATAAAAAAATGGGACTCAGATATTCTTTAAAACTTATGGATACAGTGTTTTTTAAAGAAAATGTTGGTAGTACCCGTGGAATGGGAATTTCTTAGCTGGACTGCAGTTTTCTCTCTGTGGTTTTTTTTTTTTTGGCTGTACTGGGATTTGAACTCAAGGCTTCACTCTTGTTAGGTAGGCACTCTGCCATTGAGCCCATGGCCCTAGCCCTTGTTGTTTGTCTCTTTCTTTTCTTCCCTTCCCTTTCCCTCCCTCCTTCCTTCTTTTTTTCTCTCTCTCTCTTTCTATCTTTTGAGATTTATTGAAGCAAAATGTATTTCAAAGACCACTTTGTATAAGACAATAAATTATAATTAAAACCTCGTGGAAAGTTAATATTACTGCTGTTTTACCAGAGAACTATTACTGAAAAGTTGAGTTCTCAGAATTTGTTTCTCAATTTCTTAAGATGGAGAATAGCATAACTTATAAAAAATAAACATAAAACAGTACATTTCGGGGCTGCACAAATGATAATTGCTTGTCTGGTACCAGACTTTAACTTGGAATCATGAATTTAGAATCCAGTGAGGTAAATTTAACTTTGTTTAGCAAATCTTACCTTAATAATGACTTTTTGAAAAGTACCTTATGTTGGGTTCTTTTTTTGTGGGAATGGTTTAGTGTGTTAGTTGCTTTTATGTGTATTCTTCTTAATTTTCATGGCAGTCTTCAAAGCATTTGATAGCCTTTCCAACTGACTGATGAAGATATTGACCCAGAGTGTTAACCATTGTCCCTAGACCAGCTAGAATGTGGCCCAAATGGAGATTGGCCACCACCAAAATGCAAACTTGTTTCTGGAAGATTGCTTGCGGTAAAAGCAAGTTGTCAGGAATTCCTGAAGTTGTAAACGTATCTTCATGCTTTCAAATTTGTTTTTTATTCAATACAGTCAGTAAAATTATCTAACTTGGGCTGGGCTTGTAAATTACTCATAGAGAACTTGGCTAGGCATAATAAGAACCACAGCAAAAAAAAAAAAAAAATCGAACTTGATAGACCTTAGTGATTTTGTTGCCTTAATTTTGACTTTCTAAGAAGATAGTAGCTGTTAGCTTCATCAGTTAATTTGTTTACCATTAAGAGAGAATTTTTACAAAAAAACTTAATATGGTCTGGAGCTGTTGCTAAAGTGATAGAGTGCCTATCTCCTGCTTTGCAAGCACAAAGCCCAGAATTCAAATCTCAGTGTTCTTTAAAAAAAAGAAAAAATTGATGATGAAAAATGACTTCAAGCACTACTTCAAAGGAGAAAGCAAACAGCAGAAATAAACTGAAAAATTGTTAAGCCAGAAAGTTTCTTTGTTGTCCCCAATACTCCTTTTCTTTGGTCTTCTTCCTGCTTTGGTGGCGATCACCTGCAAGCACTTATTGTTACTGATTTCTGGTTTCTAACTTGACAGACTATAAGAACTTTTTTCTTAATCATGTGCATGTATCTCATACTTCAGTATGGATGCATTAGGTTTTTTTTTTTTTTTTTTTGGTACAGTGGCTTGAACTCAGGGCCTTTACTTTGTGCCACTCCGCCAGCCCTTTTTGTGAAGGGTTTTTTTTTTTGAGATAGGGTCTTGGAAACTATTTCCCCAGGCTGGCTTTGAATCGAGATCCTCCTGATGTCTGCCTCCTGAGTAGCTAAGATTATAGGCATGAGCCACCAGTGCCCAGCTTTGGATGCATTAGTTTTTGTGTCCTTTATATTGACTTGTTTTTTCTACTTACAGCAAATTAGATTTTCATCCTGTAAGCCTCTCTTTCCTTTTTCTTGGTGGACACATCTATCTTTTCTGATTAATGAAATTTCTCTCTTAGCCAGGGGGTTTTACTTCTTAATAAATAAAAGTAACGCCCTGACCAAAATTCTGAAGCTGCATTTTCTTAGGAAAATTCTAGGAATCTGGGAAATTGCTGTTTTTTTCAGTCCTAGGGCTTGAACTCAGGACCTCACACTTACTAGGCAGGTGCTTTACCTCTTGAGCCATGCCCCTAGGCCAGAAATTGCTGTTTTAGCTCAAATAACCAGGATTTAATTGTTGATGAATGCATATTCTTGGTCAGATGTTTCAGTAAGTCAATTTATTGGAATTGGACAGTGGAGTATTTACTGTTTAGTGATTAATATTTTAATTCTTTTTACTAGTTTATACTTGGGTTACCTCTGTCAGTTCAGATTATATAGGCTGTTCATTATATTTTGGTCAGAATTATTTTTATTTGGCATGTTCTGTTGTACAACTTGTTTGTAGAAATTATGTCTTAATTACCATTTTGTCTTACAGATACGAGAATATGAATGGATTCATTCCCAAACCAAAAGACTAAAGTTCAATGCACTTATAACAACATATGAGATCCTCTTAAAAGATAAGGTATGTAACTGGGAGCTAAAAGGCTAAGTCTTGTCCAGTGTGACTTACCCAGGTAGTGAGGCTTGTGACTTCCACTTGCTGTGTTCTTTTTCTTGCTTTGTTTTAAATGAACAAACAAAAATTCCACAAAGAACATTAGAAGAATATTGAAAGCAGAAAACAGGACTTGATAGTTGAAGGGGAACTTAGTTTGCCTAGTGTGATTGAGTTACTTAGGGGGAAAGGGCATTGAGGCCAGTAACTAACTACTTGAGATCATGGTTAGTCCTTGGGAACTGGGTTTGCATGCCATTTTGGACATTTCCTATCATGTTGAGACATTTCTCTAGAATAGTTGATGTGAATGGTCTCTGAAAAAAATTAAGCTCTTTAAATACATCCTTTCTACTGTTACTGAGAAATACATGTGACAATAGTAATTGCAAACAAGTTCATTTTGGGTGCCTTTTCGTATTTCAGGGCTGGTTGCAAATAGGCAAGAAAAGGATCTAAGAGGAGAATGGAAAGTCCTGCATTTTTTTTGGTGTTTGTTTCCCCGTTCCACCACCCACCCCCCACCCCCCACCCCCCACCCCCCACAGCATACCAATTTTTAGGTTCTTGCTTTGGGGCTTGCAGTAATAATACCTGGTAAAAGAGACCCACCTATACGTTTTAGATGATGATGTCTCTTTAGAATAGACACCAGTCTGGCAATGAACAGAATAAATCCTGAGTGGGTGGACAGTAAATGTACCCAGTACCTTTGTGATGGTGTTTGTACAGTGATAGTTAACACTGGAATGCACTTTTGTGTTCTCTGCTGACTTGGTGGCTTGTTCTGTTCTCTTTTGTTTTTGCTTTAGACTGTGCTGGGTAGTATTAACTGGGCCTTTCTGGGAGTGGATGAAGCTCATCGGTTGAAGAATGATGACTCTTTATTGTATAAAACTCTGATTGATTTCAAGTCCAACCATAGGCTCCTGATTACGGGCACTCCTCTTCAGAATTCCCTGAAGGAACTCTGGTCCTTGCTGCACTTTATTATGCCAGAGAAGTAAGCTCCTTCTTTCCTGTGAATTTCTAAAGATGCTAAAATGTCTGAAAAGCTAATGCTATTTAATATTCTTAATAGATCTTGGGGAAAACAGATAGCAGGGTTTGGGAAAAGCAAAGCATTACATGGAGGCAGAAACACTAGTAATAAAATCTTCTATAGTGAGTGACAGAAGGCACAGATACTAGTTACTTAAGGAGGAAAGCATATTGTCCACCAAAAGTTTGAATTAAAGCATTTGGGAAATAACTGTTAGATAGGAAACATGAGACCTTCTCATTATTGTTATAAAGTAATCAGTATAATTGAACTCTGTGAGGTAAACAGTTTGACTAGCAACAAAGCATACCGTAAACCAAAATCTTTTGAGGACAGAATTTAATGGTACTGGGGTTTGAACTCAGGGCTTCATGCTTAATAGGCAGGCACTTACCACTTGAGCCATGCCTCCAGCCCTTAAACCATTAGCTTATTAAAGAACTATGAGTCAGGCACCGGTGACTGTAATCCCAGCAACTCAGGAGGATCATGGTTTGAAGCTAGCCTGGGCACATAGTTCGAGAAGCCCTATCTCGAAAAAACCCATCACAAAAAAAGGACTGGTGGAGTGGCTCAAGGTGTAGGCCTTGAGTTCAAGCTCCAGTACTGCAAAACAAACAAACAATGAAATGCCTTTATTATTTTTTTTGGTGGTACTGGGGTTTGAGCTCAAGGCTTCACACTTGCTGGACAGGCTTGAGCCACACATCTAGACCTATTAGAAAGATTTTTATAGGAGATATAGTGCGTACACATAATAACACTTAAGATTACCCACTGATGTGGGTAATTCTTGAGTTTGGAAGAGTCCACTCAGTTTGTCCCCTTGATAATGCTCTGACTCATACCCCTTTCCCATTACTCACAGTGCTTCACCATTCTGGTCACTTTGCTTTCCCTCACACATGCCAAGCTGTGATCATTTAAGCTCTTTCTCCTTCTCTTCACATGCTGTCACCTTAATATTTTTGCCTCTGGTTGCATGACCTCAGACCACCTAACCTAAAGTTGCCAGTTTTTTTTAACCTTTTAATATTTTATTACTCAAAAAAAGCCTTTTGCATTTTCAAAACAGCTTTTTTTCCCCCCTTGAGGAGTTGGAGACTTAATATACTTCATTCGTGCTAGGCAACCAAAAAAAAGCTTTGTGTTTTCATTTAGCTTTCTGACTCTGCTTGTGCCTTCAACACTTTCACAGCGATTTTCTGCTCCTCAATAAGGAACGCACGCTTGACCCTGTCTCGGACACATTTGGCACACATGGACCCAGCACAGGCCCTGCTGCTGACGTGTATTTTTGTTTTAGACACTCGTATAAGGACTTCAGGTCTCACAGCCCGAGCCCCACGAGGTCGGCCTGGGCACACACCACAAGCAGATTTTGGTGCTTTTCCAACCTTTTTGGTATAAAGGTAAACAATTCTATTGCCAGGGGTTCGGGATAGCCTAGTTTTGTTAGAGGCTGTATCGTAGGAAGCCTACGACGGTATGTCAACCGCTGGACCGCTGTGAGTGCCTCTGAACACCATCCCTGGAAGAGCAAGTACCTTGGTCTTGTATTGTTAAACTGTGCATATGAAAATACTAGGGATCTTGTTTGCTTAATTCATCACGGTTCACGTTGCCTACGATAGCACCTGTTAGTTATGTAGTGGACAGGTAAATGTGTTTTTGCCCGAGGCTGGCCTCAGACCTCGGTCCTCTGAACTCCACCTCCTGAGTAAGTGGGATTACAAGTGGTTTTTTTTTTTTTATTTTTGAGTTTAGAAAAGATTCGAGTGCTAGAAACTGAGTGAGGCCTTTGGAAACTTAATGAACAATATGGAAATGGTCCCTTTTTTTTTTAATAGCTTTATTGAGATATAATTTACATATCATACTATGCACCATTGTATTCAATATTATTTAATAAATTTGTAGTGTTGTGCTACCATCATCATCATCCAGTCTTACATTATTTCCCTTTCCCAAAAACTTCTTCTTGCCTGCTTACTGTTAATCTCTACTTCATCTTTTCAGCCTTTGGCAACCATTAATCAGCTTTTGTCTCTAGATATACTTGGTTTCTTTCTTTTTTTTAGTAGCACTGGGGTTTGAAGTTGGGTTCTACACTTGAGCCTTTCCTCTAGCCTGATAAGGACATTTTCTAGAAGTTTCATATGTGTAGAATCCTAGTTTTTGTCTCTCATTTCTTTGCCTTAGCATACTGTGTTTCTGTTTTCAGATTTCTCCATCTCACAGTGTCTACCAGTAGTGGCTTTCTTACCGGGTAGTAATGCTTCATTGCATGCATGTCCAGTCCCCAGTTGATGGTCATTTTGCATTGCCTCTGTCTGGAGTCATTTTGTCTTTATATGTGCATTTTTATTTTCCTTAGTTACACATTTAGGAATAGAGTTGCTGGGTTTTTTTGTTTTGTTTTTGGCAATTTGTACTTAGCTTTTTGAGAACTTGTTTGGAGGTTCTAGCAGGGGAGCGCAGCTACTCGTATACCCTTGACCGAAGAACGGTCCTCCTCTATCGGGGATGGTCGTCCTCTTCGACCGAGCGCGCAGCTTCGGGAGGGACGCACATGGAGTGGTGAGGGAGGAAGGGGACACCCGCCTAGCCAGCCAGATCAGCCGAATCAACCCTGGCGATCAATGGGGTGACAGATGTCACAGCCAGATTGCCCTCACATCCTGTACTTACCTTTTTGTAAACTGTGCCGTTTTTCAAAGCGATGGAGCCAGTGCACATTCCCAGCTGACATATTGAAGGTCTCACCCACCAGTACTTAGTGCATTGTATGTTTGATTCTAGCCATTCTGCTCGTGGTATATCTCACTATCTCGTTGGTATACGTGGTTTTTTTTTTTTTTTTGTAGTACTGGGGTTTTATGTTTGCTTGGCTTCATGTTTGCTAGAAATATATACTCAAATCTTTTGCATTAAAAAAATTGGATGCTGGGCGCTAGTGGCTCACATCTGTAATCCTAGTGACTTGGGAGGCTGAAATCGGGTGGATCGTGGTTCTAGGGCAGCCCAGGCAAAATAGTTCTTGAGAGCCCATCTCCAAAATAAGCAGAGCAAAATGGACTAGAGGTGTGGCTCAAGCAGTTGAGTGCCAAGTGGGAACCCCTGAGTTCATACACTGAGTCTGCCCCCTACCTCTCCAAAAAAATTAGATTAGGACTGGAGGTGTGGCTCAAGTGGTAGAATCCTTGCCTTGCAAGGGCAAGACCCTGAGTTCAAATCAGTGCTGCCAAAAAAAGTTTGGATGATTTTATTATGGATTGAAGAGTATTGCTTTAAAAAGAAAAATCCTAGATATAAGTGCTTTATCAGTGTATGATTGGAAAATATGTTGTCCCAATATTTATGTTGTCTTTTCGTTTTCTTTTTTCACCAAATCAGGGTCCTTTTTTATTAACATATAGTTTAATACATGATTTTAACTATATAAGATTGCATTTAAATTGTAATTTTAGAGTTGAGATATTTGTTAATACTGCCACATTGACTGTTCCATTCAATAATGTTATGTTGGAGGTTTTTATTTTTTACTTTTTAAAAAAAATTATTAGCATATTGTCATTGTTCCTGGGTACATTGTGACATTTACAAAAGTGCTTACAGCATAACTTAGAGTCACCTCTTCCATCTTTCTGCTTTATCCCCCCCCATTTTGTTAATGTTGTCTTTTGAAGAGAATTGTTTAATTTTGAAGTATAATTTATCAATTTCTTTTTATGCATTGTGCTTTGGATGCCCTATCTAAGACAAATTCGCCTAACCGAAGGTCACAAAGATGTTCTTTACTTTTTGTTTATAGCGTGAGGACCTCAGTTCTTTTTTTCATTTTTATTAGCGTATATTAATTGTATGGGCGTTTCATTGTGCCAGTTTTCAATAGCTTTACATTGTACATTGTACATTGGTTAGATCGCCCCTGCCATCTCCACGCCTTGACCCACTCTCCACTCCACTTAAAGTAATTGAAAGAGGTTTCATCGTTCCATTTTGTATATGTACGTATACGAAGCCCACCCTCCTGTCTATGCCTCTTGAGTGCCTTAATGCCTGGATCCAGGTTTTCTTTCATCTTTGTTGACTTGTCTAGCCTACCAGTTAGTGAGAGGAGAGTATTTTAATTTTTAGCGACAATTGTTGAGTACTTGACTTCATTCAGTTCTTTTTTCCTTACGTACTTTGGGGTCCTTTTGTTTGTTGCATATATATTGGTGTATGTCTTGTAACTGTTAAATGTTTCTGATGTCTGTTGTGTGTGATTTTTTTTTTAGCAGCTTATCTCTCTTCTAGTTGCGGTTTGTGTAGTATAGCTTTTCCATCATTTTACTTTGAGCCAGTTTCTTCCTGTGATCTAAAATGTGTTGGCAGCATGTTAGTTACATATGCCTTTTTATCCAGGCAACAATCCGTGTCTTTTAATTGCAATATTTAATATGTTCACATTTAATATAACTGATGACATGGTTGGACCTGTTTCTGCTGCTTTGCTGTCTGTTTGCCATATGTCATTTATTTTTTTGTTCCTGTTTCAACTTTCCTACTGTCATCTCAGCAGTTGATTTTTAGTACACCATTTCATTCGGTTAGCTAATATTTTTAGTATTTTAAATCAGTTTCTTACTGGTTTGTCCAAGGATTATGCATTTTTTTTTTTTTTTTTTTTGTTGGTACTGAGGTTTGGACTCATGGATTCATGCTTGCTAGGCAGGCAATCTACCTACCAATTGAGCCATTCCAACAGCCCCTGGGATTATGCATCTTAATTAATCACAGTCTACATGTTAATACTAACTTAATTCTGGTAAAATATAACAAGTTGGTTCCATTTTCACCTTTTTTCCTTACGTTATAAACCCAAGAATATAGTGGCACAATGATTGCTTTACAAAGATTTGTCTTTTAAGGAAACTTAGAAAAGAGAAAAATATGTTTGTATCACCTTTTATATATATTAATCATTTACAGTGATCTTCATTCCTTTGTATGGATTCAGATTACATTCAGTGTCACTTTTAGCACAAGGGACTTCCTTTTTAGTATTATCTTTACTTGTGTGCGGCTGTTTCATTTGGGTAGGATATTTAAGACCCTTCAGAACATGTAGAGAAACTTACTCATGTGCTGCCCTCGATACAGCTTACAAGCTTAAACTGATTTCTGTTTTCTTGTTGTCATATACATCTTCACTACAGAGTCTTTCTGGGGGAGGAGTCCTCTGTACCCCTTCTTCCAGTGCCATTTTAAAGAACAGGTTTCCTCACTTTGGCTCTACTGTTATATTGATATTTTGGGCTGCATAATTTGTATGTATATACATACATGTGTGTGTGACGTTTTCATTTTGGGATGTCTAGCAGTGCATCCCTATCTTCTGCCCACTGTGTGCCCCAGTCACACCTCCCACTTTCAGAATTGTGACAACTTAAAATGTATCTAGATATTGCCAGATGTCCCCCTTGTTGGGGTGGGTAGGCACTTCACATGCTGTCCTTTTTTATTGCTGTCTTTGTCCTGCTTGCAGCTCACCTGCAGCCTTCTTTCTTCACTAAAGCTACGAGAATCAATAGAGATCACTTGGCTCCAGTCTCTGTTTTAAACCTTCTGTTGTATGGTCTGTAATAAGTTCATCACATGTTATATCATGTACTTATGTCACATGCTTGTAAAACTTTTCAAAGCTGTAGATGCTGTGAAACACAAAGTTGTAAAAGTTTAGAAATAGTAGGTATTATCAGTTTTTAATCTTGCTTTGTAAGAGAATTTTTATGGATATCACTTTATAGTTTTCATACTTGATCTTTCATATTGCAAATAAGAATATGCTGTCTTAAGTGATGAAAATGTGTCCCATACCACACGGCTAGTAAGTGGATGGACCAAAACCAGTCCGTGTTGTTTGAACTTTGTAGTCTAAGAAAAGTACCTCTTTGACATAGTTGAGACAAGGGAAAGGCATCCTACATGGCAGAAGCCATGAGGCATGGTGGGCCATCCACGCTCGCTGGAGTAGAGACAGAATGTGCTCTGTTGTTTCTACCAAGGGATGCGTATGCATAGCTGGGGTGGATTCAGTTGGTTTTCCCTTTTTTTTCTTGTTTTTCTTTCTCTCATTCAGGTGTTAGTGTTGGATAAATTTTGTCTTTTCTTATAGGGCAGATTCATTTTTTTTTTAACAGGTCCGTCCCCCTATTCAGTTTCTTGTAATTTTAGTTTAAAAAATTCCCTTTCCCCTCTGTATAATTAAGTAGCACTTTTCTATTTCATCCCTAGGTTTGAGTTCTGGGAAGATTTTGAGGAAGACCATGGAAAAGGGAGGGAGAATGGCTACCAGAGCCTCCATAAGGTGCTAGAGCCTTTTCTTCTCCGGCGAGTGAAGAAAGATGTGGAGAAATCCCTTCCTGCCAAAGTGGAGCAAATCCTCAGGGTGGAGATGTCTGCCCTTCAGAAGCAGTATTACAAGTGAGTGAGTTCTTGCTGGGTTAAGCCTCCAGACAGGAGAGCAGTCCCACTCGGCCATTAGACAGGGGAAGGCACAGGTGGTCTGCAAAGC